TAGGCTTGGTTACAAGTACTGACTGATGTTGTAGTGGCCAGGCTTAGGCTTGGTTACAAGCACTGACTGATGTAGTGGCCAGGCTTAGGCTTGGTTACAAGTACTGACTGATGTTATAGTGGCCAGGCTTAGGCTTGGTTACAAGTACTGACTGATGGTGTAGTGGCCAGGCTTAGGCTTGGTTACAAGTACTGACTGATGTTGTAGTGGCCAGACTTAGGCTTGGTTACAAGTACTGACTGATGATGTAGTGGCCAGGCTTAGGCTTGGTTACAAGTACTGACTGATGTTGTAGTGACCAGGCTTAGGCTTGGTTACAAGTACTGACTGATGTTGTAGTGGCCAGGCTTAGGCTTGGTTACAAGTACTGACTGATGTTGTAGTGGCCAGGCTTAGGCTTGGTTACAAGTACTGACTGATGTTGTAGTGACCAGGCTTAGGCTTGGTTACAAGTACTGACTGATGTTGTAGTGACCAGGCTTAGGCTTGGTTACAAGTACTGACTGATGTTGTAGTGGCCAGACTTAGGCTTACCTGGAGTTTACCTGGAGAGAGCTCCGGGGGTCAACGCCCCCGCGGCCCGGTCTGTGACCAGGCCTCCTGGTGGATCAGAGCCTGATCAACCAGGCTGTTGTTGCTGGCTGCACGCAAACCAACGTACGAGCCACAGCCCGGCTGATCAGGAACTGACTTTAGGTGCTTGTCCAGTGCCAGCTTGAAGACTGCCAGGGGTCTGTTGGTAATTCCCCTTATGTGTGCTGGGAGGCAGTTGAACAGTCTCGGGCCCCTGACACTTATTGTATGGTCTCTTAACGTGCTAGTGACACCCCTGCTTTTCATTGTGGGGATGTTGCATCGTCTGCCAAGTCTTTTGCTTTCGTAGTGAGTGATTTTCGTGTGCAAGTTCGGTACTAGTCCCTCTAGGATTTTCCAGGTGTATATAATCATGTATCTCTCCCTCCTGCGTTCCAGGGAATACAGGTTTAGGAACCTCAAGCGCTCCCAGTAATTGAGGTGTTTTATCTCCGTTATGCGCGCCGTGAAAGTTCTCTGTACATTCTCTAGGTCGGCAATTTCACCTGCCTTGAAAGGTGCTGTTAGTGTGCAGCAATACTCCAGCCTAGATAGAACAAGTGACCTGAAGAGTGTCATCATGGGCTTGGCCTCCCTAGTTTTGAAGGTTCTCATTATCCATCCTGTCATTTTTCTAGCAGATGCGATTGATACAATGTTATGATCCTTGAAGGTGAGATCCTCCGACATGATCACTCCCAGGTCTTTGACGTTGGTGTTTCGCTCTATTTTGTGGCCAGAATTTGTTTTGTACTCTGATGAAGATTTAATTTCCTCATGTTTACCATATCTGAAATTTCTCATCGTTGAACTTCATATTGTTTTCTGCAGCCCACTGAAAGATTTGGTTGATGTCCGCCTGGAGCCTTGCAGTGTCTGCAATGGAAGACACTGTCATGCAGATTCGGGTGTCATCTGCAAAGGAAGACACGGTGCTGTGGCTGACATCCTTGTCTATGTCGGATATGAGGATGAGGAACAAGATGGGAGCGAGTACTGTGCCTTGTTGACGACTACTCTCTGTGTTCTGTTAGTGAGGAAATTATAGATCCATCGACCGACTTTTCCTGTTATTCCTTTAGCACGCATTTTGTGCGCTATTACGCCATGGTCACACTTGTCGAAGGCTTTTGCAAAGTCTGTATATATTACATCTGCATTCATTTTGTCTTCTAGTGCATTTAGGACCTTGTCGTAGTGATCCAATAGTTGAGACAGACAGGAGCGACCTGTTCTAAACCCATGTTGCCCTGGGTTGTGAAACTGATGGGTTTCTAGATGGGTGGTGATCTTGCTTCTTAGGACCCTTTCAAAGATTTTTATGGTTTTTTATGGTTACAAGTACTGACTGATGTTGTAGTGGCCAGACTTAGGCTTGGTTACAAGTACTGACTGATATTGTAGTGGTCAGGCTTAGGCTTGGTTACAAGTACTGACTGATGTTGTAGTGGCCAGGCTTAGGCTTGGTTACAAGTACTGACTGATGTTGTAGTGGCCAGGCTTAGGCTTGGTTACAAGTACTGACTGATGTTGTAGTGGCCAGACTTAGGCTTGGTTACAAGTACTGACTGATGTTGTAGTGGCCAGACTTAGGCTTGGTTACAAGTACTGACTGATGTTGTAGTGGCCAGACTTAGGCTTGGTTACAAGTACTGACTGATGTTGTAGTGGCCAGACTTAGGCTTGGTTACAAGTACTGACTGATGTTGTAGTGGCCAGACTTAGGCTTGGTTACAAGTACTGACTGATGTTGTAGTGGCCAGACTTAGGCTTGGTTACAAGTACTGACTGATGTTGTAGTGGCCAGACTTAGGCTTGGTTACAAGTACTGACTGATGTTGTAGTGGCCAGGCTTAGGCATGGTTACAAGTACTGACTGATGTTGTAGTGGCCAGACTTAGGCTTGGTTACAAGTACTGACTGATGTTGTAGTGGCCAGGCTTAGGCTTGGTTACAAGTACTGACTGATGTTGTAGTGGCCAGACTTAGGCTTGGTTACAAGTACTGACTGATGTTGTAGTGGCCAGGCTTAGGCTTGGTTACAAGTACTGACTGATGTTGTAGTGGCCAGGCTTAGGCTTGGTTACAAGTACTTCTGGCAGTTTGGGAGACACACAGATGATGATCAAACTAAATGTAAATTATGTGATCAGGCATATGGTCACTGTCTTGAACACTATGTGCTTAATTGTCCACTTATTGAGGAATACAGAGACAGACAGTATAATAACCTATGTGACATGTCAAGATTATTAATGAAAATAAGATACCAGATATACTAAGCAAATTTCCTAAATTTGCTTGTAACAGATAAGTGAACTATAAATTCAAATGAACACCTGTTAACCCTGAATCCTGAATCTGCACTTTCTCGAAAGGTGTAGAATTAGGGGGGATATGATCAAGGTGTATAAATGGAAAACAGGAATAAATAAAGGGGATGTAAATATTGTGCTGAAAATTTCCAGCCAAGACAGGACTCGCAGCAATGGTTTCAAGTTGGAAAAATTCAGATTCAGGAAGGATATAGGAAAGTACTGGTTTGGTAATAGATAAATAACAAAAAGGCACAATACCGTGACTGGAACGATACACAAATAACCCGCACATAAAAGACAGAAGCTTACGACGACGTTTCGGTCCGACTTGGACCATTGACAAAGTCAATAGAGTCAATAGAGTTGTGGATGAGTGGAACAAACTCCCGAGTACAGTTATTGAGGCTAAAACCTTGTGTAGTTTTAAAAATAGGTTAGATAAATACACGAGTGTGTGTGAGTTGGACCTGACTAGCTTGTGCTGCTGGATCTGGTGCCGTGCTCCATCCTTGAGTGGAGATGACCAAACTGGGTGGGTCATTGGGATAATCCGGGAGGTGGGTCATTGGTCTAATCCGGGGGGGGGGACATGGACCTGCTCCGCATGGGTCAGTAGGCCTGTTGCAGTGTTACTTCTTATGTTCTTATGTTCTTTTGGGACCTAGTTTCTGGGCCTTTTGTGTATCCATATGCTCTTGAGCTACCATCCACAGGATGGATATGGGGTGCACAATAAACTAGCCACTTCGGTGGCAAAATCTAAAATCTAACCCAGTGGAAGTAGGTCCTACCCACTGGGATGGGTTAGTTGTAGAAGCCTTGAAGAAGGTCTTGTAGATATCCTCTGAACCAAGATTCCATGATGTTGTAGTGTCTGACAAGTTGTGGAATGGTATACAATACCGATCAGGTCTGATCAACCAGGCTGGGGACACTTGACAGATGCCTAACAACGAGAGTACCAACATCTGATAATAGATCAGTAACCTGATCCTCTCACGGGTTTAAAATACCACCAAATCATATCTTGTTTAGAGGCTTTCTAAAACATACCGCTTATCTATTCCAGTTGATAAATCTGATAAGGAATGTCTCTGATAGATAGGAAGATAAACACGCTATGACTTAACCAATAGATTGATAAAACTCTCACTATACACGAAAGATCGCTATGGGTTGGTTGGTTAATGGGGTTTAATGGGATTTAAAGCTTATCTACCAGACGAGGGTCATTGTCTTTCTTGGGTTATCATAGGTTATTATTATAATCAAGGGGGAGCGCTAAACCCATAGGATTATGCTAGGCCTGGGGGGGGGGGTGCGGAAAGTATTCAGGATTAATTCAGGGAACCGGAGCACAGATCCAATTCCCTAGATCAAGAGCCCCTCACCAGCATCAAGGAACCTTCCTTGAGGGGACCTATCCTAGGTTATCTATGTGCTGTTATGTATGATAATTTAGCCACTCAGGATAACTTGGGGTAGGGAGGGTTAGCCACTCAGGATAACCTGGGGTTGGGAGGGTTAGCCACTCAGGATAACCTGGGGTTGGGAGGGTTAGCCACTCAGGATAACCCAAGAAAGTCAGTGTGTCATCGAGGACTCTTATTTCTACGGTGGTCCTTAAATCTTGTCCCCCCAGAATGCCACCCACACCAGTCAACTAACACTTACGTACCTATTTACTGCTAGGAGAACAGTGGCAGCAGGTGTAAGGTGACTAACATTTAGATACCTACTTACTGCTAGGTGAAGTGACAGCATGTGTAAGGTGACTAACACCCAGGTACCTACTTACTGCTAGGTGAACAGTGACAGCAAGTGTAAGGTGACTAACACCCAAGTACCTACTTACTGCTAGGTGAACAGTGACAGCATGTATAAGGTGACTAACACCCAGGTACCTACTTACTGCTAGATGAACAGTGGCAAAAGGTGTAAGGTAACATGTCCAACGTCCCCACCCATACTGGGGACCGAACCACGGACACTCGGTATGTGAATTGAGTGCGCTACCAACCGAGCCACGAGCCACACCTCAGCATATACACCGTGTATGCTGTGGGTGTATTATCAAACTACTTGGCTAACAATTTCACACCAACTTACCCGTAAAATACATAAGTATAAAGAGTACAGATGTAACAAGGATGGACTTGATAATGTCCGGGTGGAGCAGTCCCCTCCATGTTGATCCTGTCGTGTTCATTTCACGGTAACTCTGCAGTTCTGCATCAATGTTTGCATGTTGACCTCTCAGGTTGACCAGAACGGCTCTGGCCTCTTCTTCCCGGCCTGCAATGTCCCGTTATAAAATTGGTCAAGATTAGGTTAGGTTAAGGTTGAGATTTGGGCGACTTTAGTCCAAATTGTTTAAGTTTTGGTGGGGTCTACTGTATGAGAATGGGGTTGTGAAGGGGCCCCATAACAGTTCAAGCTTCAGGGCCCCAAAAATGTAGGTCCCCTACATTTAGGTAAGGTTAGTCAGGAAACAGGACAAGTGTTTCCTGACACGGGTCTTAGTCATATGATGACCAACAGCTGGAGCTTTTGTCATCTGATAAAGGCCTTCCACTGGCTTACCCCCCACTACTTTAAAAATTAATATTAATTCACCAACCGGTCAAAAAATGAAACTTAAATTCATCCCGTGTTGTGGGCTAAATATTAATTACGTCTACCTTATAATACATCCAACAATACGTTTTCTTTTATGCACTGCGGCTTTAAAGAAAACAATTTAATGCAGGAACTAATAAGATTAAAAACACATAAGCACTTCAACTTTCTTTTACAAGAATAAATTGCTAAAATATAAGGCAATCTTTTTGGAATGTTCTTGTGACCTAATTCATGTCTGATTAACAAACTTATTACGACAGTAACCAGAAATAAACATGTAAATAGTTCATTACCAAGTGATAATAGTAGAAATAATAATGTTTATTTCTAGCAGTACATGATACAACTTATACAGACCATAGCTGACAACAATGACATACTATATAGGAAGTTCCTGGTTATGTAGAGCATTTCTGGTAACTTAGGTTAATTTTGTTCCCCAGGATGCCACCCACACCCGTCAACTAACACCCAGAATGCCACCCACACCAGTCAACTAACGCCCAGAATGCCACCCACACCAGTCAACTAACACCCAGAATGCCACCCACACCAGTCCACTAACACCCAGAATGCCACCCACACCAGTCCACTAACACCCAGGATGCCACCCACACCAGTCCACTAACACCCAGAATGCCACCCACACCAGTCCATTAACACCCAGGATGCCACCCACACCAGTCCACTAACACCCAGGATGCCACACACACCAGTCAACTAACACCCAGGTACCTACTTCCTGCTAGGTGAATAAAGACAGCAGGTAGTAGTAGCAGCAGTGGTAACATAATTACTCTCATTGTATACTATACCTTTAAGTAGGAGTAGTGAGGGACTCTCAGGCAGGGAAGTGAGGCCCAGGATAAACAAGAGAGGCACCAGCATATCAACAAAAGCCACTATGTAGTACCTAGCGTCGTAGCCAACCAGTGCTGTCACAACCTGACCTGACAACCACGTACATATATACATGTAAGTATATTTACACACGGGTATATATAAGTTCAGTTATCATGTATAAATTACCCACCAGGATACCCTATTGATATTAGCTAAAGAAAGTTCTCTCCGACCCTTGGAGTTAATGCAAAATGAAGCTCTCAGGATTATTCTTGGCTGTCCCAGATCTACAAAAGTTCTTAACATGAGGAAGGAGCTTGGTATTTCTAGTATCAGTGATAGGATTGTTGAAATTAACACTGTACTCGGTATTAGAATGTTGAGAAACGAACCAGACACTGTCACAGTGAATCTTACCAAGTGTCTAGAGGTAAATACACACAGATCTAAATGGATTGTGAAAACGTGCAATTGCATTAAGTTTTATAACCTGCATGAACTGTATCACTGTAGGCAACAAGAGCATTTCACCCCTCCATGGAAGATGTGTTCATTTAATATCACATACCTACAAGTTCCTCCCAAGAAGCTCATTGCTAGTAATCCCTTCCTTAAATCTCTTGTTAGAGCAACTGCTCAAGAAGAAATTTCTCACCTAGCTGGTAGTAATAAGTTATCACAAGTTATGTACACTGATGGATCTAAACAGGAGTCTTCTGGCAGGGCTGCATCTGCTCTTGTTGCCACCTCCCTAGTTAAGAACGATAATAAATTTGTTGAGTTAGGCATAAGAATTAACAACTGGGCGTCTACACTGCAAACTGAATTGTTTGCAATCCTAATGGCGCTAAAGCTAACCTATGACACTGAGCTTGACTCTATCATCATTACTGATTCTATGTCATCATTGAAGGCTCTTGGCTCATATAATGACTCCAACAACATGCTCATTGGAGAAGCCAGGTATAGATACTCAAAAATTAGGGACAAAGGAATTAATGTACAATTGCTATGGATCCCATCACACATTGGATTACTCCTTCATGATAAAGTTGATATGTTAGCCAAGAAGAGTATCGAGAAGGAGAATGTAGAATATAACTTTGGTATAACTGTGTCTAGCATTAGGAATAATATTAGGAGAGAAGTAAATAATGAAAATGATTGTTATAGGAATGCAGTTAGAAGCCTGAGTAGATCTATAACCCACTATGATAACATGAACGTAGATAAGTATGTTTATGGAGCAACGTGCAATGTGAACAGACTGACTGATGTTGTAGTGGCCAGGCTTAGGCTTGGTTACAAGTACTTCTGGCAGTTTGGGAGACACACAGATGATGATCAAACTAAATGTAAATTATGTGATCAGGCATATGGTCACTCTCTTGAACACTATGTGCTTAATTGTCCACTTATTGAGGAATACAGAGACAGACAGTATAATAACCTAAGTGACATGTCAATATATCTTATTAATGAAAATAAGATACCAGATATACTAAGCAAATTTCCTAAATTTGCTTGTAACAGATAAGTGAACTATAGATATGTAGATATAAATCCATATGTATTCCTGTTAACCCTTTGGGGCCTAGTTCCTAGGCCTTTTGTTTATCCATATGCTCTCGCGCTACCGTCCACAGGATGGATATGGGGTGCACAATAAGCTAGCCACTTCGGTGGTAAAATCTAAATCTAAAATCTAATCCAACCCAGCTACGGGGCACCTAACCTAAGTTCGGAACTTACCGCAGTTAACGCCAATGTTAACAATCATGATCATTGCTCCTCGAACATCCAAGTCAGCCATCTCGACTCCATAAGCATTAACAGAGATGGTCAGGGACCCTACGGCCAGTCCACACACGAATCTATACCAAGAAACACAAGAATCAATTATATGTATATTTTTGTGCCCACGAACGAGTGGTATTGATCAATAACAACACCGCGACTAGCCAAGGACTCGAACCCATGCTGGTTTGGCCTGCCTCATGGTGGGCAGCAAGTACACCATCCAGCTAAACTGGAAGTGCTACTCTTAAGGATTGTATGGTCCAGTGGATTAAGGCATCATGAGTTTTCGCCCAACATGAGGCAGGCCAAAGCAGCATGGGTTCGAGTCCTTGGCTAGTCGCAGTGTTGTTATCGATATATATATATATATATATATATATATATATATATATATATATATATATATATATATATATATATATATATATATATATATATATATAAAGATGGCACATACAGTACATGAGGTGTGAGAACTCCCCTTCTTCCTTCCTCAGCCTGATTACCTGGTCCTTGACTCTTGTTTTCCTCCTGATGTGGCTGTACAACAGCTTCCGGTCAGATTTGGCTTTCGCTGCTATGTCATTTTCGTATTGTTATTGGGCCTCCCTTCTTACCTGTGCATACTCATTTCTGGCTCTACGACTGCTCTCCTTATTCTCCTGGGTCCTTTGCTTTCTATACTTCTTCCATTCTCTAGCTCACTTGGTTTTGGCCTCTCTACACCTTTGGGTGAACCAAGGGCTCATCCTGGCTTTCTCGTTGTTTTTGTTACCCTTCGGCACAAACCTCTCCTCAGGTTCCTTGCATATCGTTGTCACACATTCCATCATCTCGTTTACTGACTTCCCTTCCAGCTCTCTGTCCCATTGAACCCCGTGCAGGAAATTCTTCATGCCTGTATAGTCCCCTCTTTTGTAGTTTGGCTTCCTTCGTCCTGCCCTCCCTGCTTCCCTTTCCACTTGTAACTCTACTATTTATTCGAACCATGTGATCACTGGCCCCGAGGGGTCTTACATATGTAATGTCCTCGATATCTGCACTACTCGGGGTGAATACTAGGTCCAGTCTTGCTGTCTCGTCCTCTCCTCTTTCTCTGGTAGTGTCCCTTATGTGTTGGTACATGAGGTTTCCCAGTACCATCTCCATCATCTTAGCCCTCCACGTTTTTGGGGCCCCCATGTGGTTCCAGGTTCTCCCAGTTAATTTCCTTGTGATTGAAGTCACCCATAATCAGCAGCTTTGTCCTACTCGCATGAGCCCTTCTGGCCACCTCAGCCAGTGTGTCAGCCATCGCTCTATTGTCCTCAACATGTTCCTGCTTTGGCCTCCTGCTGTTCTGTGGATGGTTATACATCACTGCAATTACCACCTTGGGACCTCCAGACTGAAGTGTTCCTATCATGTAGTCTCTTGCTACTCCTCTGTCTCCTCTCTCCAGCTCATCAAAATCCCATCGGTTTTTGATGAGCAGTGCCACTCCTCCACCCCCTCTGTTCCCTCTGTCTTTCTTCGGGATCTGATATCCCAGTGGAAAGATGGCATCTGTTATCATTCCTGTGAGCTTGGTTTCTGTGAGAGCTATGATGTCCGGTGATGCCTCTTTGACTCTTTCGTGCCAATCCTCCCATTAATTCATTATTCCATCAGCGTTGGTGTACCATACCTTCTAGGGGGTCTGTGAGGGTGGGGGACCTGTGATTGTGCTGTGGTATTCTACAGCATAGTGTGGGTTGGGGGCTGTAAGTGGGGATTGTGGTTTGTACTGGGATAGTGTGTTCTCCTCTTGTGCCGAGTTCTCTTGTGCCGAGTTCTCTTGTGCCGAGTCCTCTTGTGCCGAGTTCTTCTCTTGTGCCGAGTTCTCCTCTTGTGCCGAGTTCTCTTGTGCCGAGTTCTTCTCTTGTGCCGAGTTCTCTTGTGCCGAGTTCTTCTCTTGTGCCGAGTTCTTCTCTTGTGTGTGTGTGTGTGTGTGTGTGTGTGCTCACCTAATTGTGGTTGCAGGGATCGAGACTCAGCTCCTGGCCCCGCCTCTTCACTGGCCGCTACTGGGTCCTCCCTCTCCCTGCTCCATGAACTCTATCATACCTCGTCTTAAAACTATGTATGGTTCCTGCCTCCACTACATCGCTTGCCAAACTATTCCACTTCCTAACAACTCTGTGGCTGTATGCGCGCGTGTGTGTGTGTGTTTGTGTGCGTGTGTATATATATGGACGACTCACCTTACACCTGCTGGAACTGTTCACCTAGCAGTAAGTAGGTACCTGGATGTTAGTCACCTTACACCTACTATCAATGTTCACCTAGCAGTAAGTAGGTACCTGGGTGTTAGTCACCTTACACCTGCTACCCCTGTTCACCTAGCAATAAGAAGCTAGAATGCATTAACTAGTGGTTAGGATACATTAACTAGAAGCTAGCATACATTACCTAGTGACTAGGATACAATAACTAGCGGCTAGGATGAATTAACTAGTTACTAGGCTGCATATCTTACTTTCTAGGACACATGATCTAGTAGCTAGTATTCATAACTCACCTAAAAACCAAAATACCAGTGAATGTTGGTAGGAGGGCCACACCTAGCCATCCTATAAGTGCTATAATCCCAGCAATTATCATACTGATGCGTCGTCCTAGCCTCAACACGAGAGGTGCGGAGATCCAGGCTCCTGGGAGGGAGCCGAGCGACACTAGGCTACCTGCAAGGCAATAGAAAAAAATGAAAAAATGGGTATAATTATAAGTAGGCCAGTGGAAGGCCTAGGTCAGATGATCAAAAGCTCCAGTTGTGGGTCATCGCATGACTGAGACCCGCCTCAGGAAACACTTGTTATGTTTCCTGACAAATTTTAAGTAACCTAGCATTTCAGTGGTATACAGTACCGGCAAGATGAAGAATTAAACGTGTGTGAAACATCTGGGTATCGTGTAGATATTTCGCTATCCAGTGGCTTTATTAATGCAATACAAAGGCATAATGTGAAGACTGTAGAATCCGTCTTCCAATGTTTTCTGTATATGTATTTCTACAGTCTTCACCTTATGTCCTTGTATTGATAAAGTCACTGGAGGGCAAAACGTCAACAAGGAAAGATACCCAATGTTGCACATGTGTCTAATTCAAGATTTTGCTGCGTATTTACTGATCCACATAGTTTAGTAACTCCTGTTATAACAACATGAAACGTTTCTCCCATCAGGAGCTGCATCAACAGAGACGCATAAAACAAGGGGAAAATAGTAAGTGAGATACCTGCCATATCCATTTGTGTGGAAGAGTACTGGAGCAAGGTACCATAGATGGTGGTGTTAGACTGGGAAGAGAGATCCTGAGCCAGTACTGAGGGCCACACAAACATGGTGCCCATGATCCACGTACCCAAGCTGGCTATGAAGATCTTGAAGCCCTGGCAGGTGATATGAAATTAGGGACTCATAGCCTCGTCATCAACCTTTGGCAACAACGTTGGTCTGATATGATACATAACAAATTACTTTTATCAAATCAAGTTTAGGTTTCTGGCCTTCTTGTCATCAGTGTCATGGTTGGGAGACTATGCTCTCCCGTCTTCACATCGGCCACACTCGTCTTACTCACAGATATCTCATGGAGAGGCGCCCTGTTCCACTCTCTGAGAATTGTCAGGTTCCAGTTTCTGTTAGCCATACTCTATTGAACTGTCCTATCTAACAATGAGCATGCAGAATTTATCCCCGATGTCGTCACTGCTCTAACACATTTTATCTTCCCTCCTCGCTGACGGCCCCACCTTTGACAAAGACTCCTTCATTGACTTTTTGACACCAACTGATCTACTACACAAACTTCGATTATGCTGCCTCTGGCACTTCTCACAGCCCTTTCTAACTCTCCCTCTGTTGTCCTCCCCACCCTTGCTACTGTATAATCCTGCACTATCCCCTGCCTTGTAACGCTGCATGACCCTGGTATGTATGGTACTTCTATCATCATAATTATAATAGCCTGGTCATAGTTACAAACATTTCTCGCTAAAATATCAAGTAATGGTTTTTGTGTGACTTAATTTATGTCTGCATAAGTAAGTCGTTATGACTGGAACTAGATATAATTATGTAAATAGTTCATTACCACTGTAATAGTTCATTACCACTGTAATAGTTCATTACCACTGTACTTATTCATTACCACTGTAACTTGTTTTGCTATCAGAACTTTGGGGCCCAGTCCCGGGACCTATTATGTACCTCTGTAATATTTTGACTACCACCCACAGGATGGGTATGGGGTGCATAATTATATTAAACTAACTAACCCTTCCTCAAGAAGTCTGAAATGCTCTGAATATTAAGGTGTTTTCTGCAGTCATACCTAAATATCACGTATCTCTTTACAAACATAATAACATGCTAAGATAATCTGAATCTTTTATCTTTAATCTTTAAGTCTTGCCTTGATGAATGAGACACTTGGGCAGAATTTGAGAATTTGTATTGTGGTAACGTTTTGCCAGACAGTGGCTGCTTCAGTCCAGTACAGAGAAGAACGATGAATAATGGGGAGTCTCAGGTAATCAGTCCCTCAGCCTGGAGTCGATGTGCTCAGTCCATCAATCTTGATCAAATGTTTAAGAATAATGATTCTCACGTGTTCAATTATCAACTTGTGGGTTTTCAAAATCATTTATACGAAGTCTTTGTATACTAAATCTACATTTTGTTTGTCCTCTTGTGCATCTAAGACCTTGTCATAGTGGCCCACTAGTTGGGACAAGCAGGAACGGCCATCTAAGACCTTGTCATAGTGGCCCACTAGTTGGGACAGGCAGGAACGACCATCTAAGACCTTGTCATAGTGGCCCAATAGTTGGAACAGGCAGGAACGACCATCTAAGACCTTGTCATAGTGGCCCACTAGTTGGAACAGGCAGGAACGACCATCTAAGACCTTGTCATAGTGGCCCACTAGTTGGGACAGGCAGGAACGACAATCTAAGACTTTGTCATAGTGGCCCAATAGTTGGAACAGGCAGGAGCGACCATCTAAGACCTTGTCATAGTGGTCCAGTAGTTGGGGCAGGCAGGAGCGACCATCTAAGATCTTGTCATAGTGGTCTAGTAGTTGGGATAGGCAGGAACGACCATCTAAGACCTTGTCATAGTGGCCCAATAGTTGGAACAGGCAGGAACGACCATCTAAGACCTTGTCATAGTGGCCCACTAGTTGGGACAGGCAGGAACGACCATCTAAGACCTTGTCATAGTGGCCCAATAGTTGGAACAGGCAGGAGCGACCATCTAAGACCTTGTCATAGTGGTCCAGTAGTTGGGACAGGCAGGAGCGACCATCTAAGACCTTGTCATAGTGGTCCAATAGTTGGGACAGGCAGGAGCGACCATCTAAACCTTGTCATAGTGGTCCAGTAGTTGGGACAGGCAGGAGCGACCATCTAAGACCTTGTCATAGTGGTCCAATAGTTGGGACAGGCAGGAGCGACCATCTAAGACATTGTCATAGTGGTCCAGTAGTTGGGACAGGCAGGAACGACCATCTAAACCTTGTCATAGTGGTCCAGTAGTTGGGACAGGCAGGAGCGACCATCTAAGACATTGTCATAGTGGTCCAGTAGTTGGGACAGGCAGGAACGACCATCTAAGACCTTGTCATAGTGGTCCAGTAGTTGGGACAGGCAGGAGCGACCTGTTCTAAACCCATACTACCCTGGGTTGTGTAATTGATGGGTATCTAAGTGGTTGGCGATCTTGCTTCTTAGAACCCTCTCAAAGATTTTTATGATATGGGACGTCAGTGTTATCTGTCTGTAGATATTAGCAATTGTTCACTGCCGCCTTTGTGGAGTGGGGCTGTGTTGGGATTTTTTATAGGGAAAAGGGAGGGTTACCTACCCAGGATAACCCAGGGAAGGGTTAGCTACCCAGGATAACCCAGGGGAGGGTTAGTCACCCAGGATAACCCAGGGGAGGGTTAGCCACCCAGGATAATCCAAGAAAGTCAGTGTGTCATCAAGGGCTGTCTGACTTATTTCCATTGTGGTCCTTCAAGCTTCTTCCCCAGGATGCCACCCACACCAGTCAACTAACACCCAGGTACCTACTTACTAGGTGAACAGTGATTGCAGATGTAAGGTGACTAACACCCAGGAACCTGCTTACTGCTAGGTGAAGAGGGACAGCAGGAGTAAGGTAACTAATATCCAGGTACGTAATTACTGCTAGGTGAACATGGGCAGCAGGTGTAAAGTGACTAACGCCCAGGTACCCACTTACTGCTAGGTGAACAGTGACAGCAAGTGTAAGGTAACATGCCTAACGTTTCACCCGTGCTGGGGATCGAACCAAGGACACTCAGTGTGTGTGAGGCGAGTGCGTTATCAACCGAGCCATGGGACACTCACCCACTGTGAATGTTTTGTTTAAAGTTTATAATAGTTCGGTTCTGAAAACTTGATTAGGAAAGTTGTCGCTGCATTTGATAACATTAATCATGGAATAGTGTCACTACAGTCTTGTCAGGAGGCAGGTGTGAGGGACTCACACCCCCACATCAGCCTTGTCAGGAGGCAGGTGTAGAGGACTCACACCCCCACACCAGCCTTGTCAGGAGGCAGGTGTGAGGAACTCACACCCCCACACCAGCCTTGTCAGGAGGCAGGTGTAGGGGACTCACACCCCCACACCAGCCTTGTCAGAAGGCAGGTGTGAGGGACTCACACCCCCACACCAGCCTTGTCAGGAGGCAGGTGTAGGGGACTCACCCTCACACCACCCTTGTCAGGAGGCAGGTGTAGGGGACTCACACCCCCCACACCAACCTTGTCAGGAGGCAGGTGTAGAGGACTCACACCCCCACACCAACCTTGTCAGGAGGCAGGTGTAGGGGACTCACACCCCCCACACCAACCTTGTCAGGAGGCAGGTGTAGGGGACTCACCCCCACACCAACCTTGTCAGGAAGCAGGTGTGAGGGACTCACACCCCCACACCAGCCTTGTCAGGAGGCAGGTGTAGGGGACTCACCCCCACACCAACCTTGTCAGGAGGCAGGTGTAGGGGACTCACACCCCCACACCAACCTTGTCAGGAGGCAGGTGTAGGGGACTCACACCCCCCACACCAACCTTGTCAGGAGGCAGGTGTAGGGGACTCACCCCCACACCAACCTTGTCAGGAGGCAGGTGTAGGGGACTCACACCCCCCACACCAACCTTGTCAGGAGGCAGGTGTAGGGGACTCACCCCCACACCAACCTTGTCAGGAGGCAGGTGTAGGGGACTCACACCCCCACACCAGCCTTGTCAGGAGGCAGGCATGGGGGACTCACCCTCACACCAACCTTGTCAGGAGGCAGGTGTAGGGGACTCACACCCCCCACACCAACCTTGTCAGGAGGCAGGTGTAGGGGACTCACACCCCCCACACCAACCTTGTCAGGAGGCAGGTGTAGGGGACTCACACCCCCACACCAACCTTGTCAGGAGGCAGGTGTAGGGGACTCACACCCCCACACCAACCTTGTCAGGAGGCAGGTGTAGGGGACTCACCCCCACACCAACCTTGTCAGGAGGCAGGTGTAGGGGACTCACACCCCCCACACCAACCTTGTCAGGAGGCAGGTGTAGGGGACTCACACCCCCACACCAACCTTGTCAGGAGGCAGGTGTAGGGGACTCACGCCCCCCACACCAACCTTGTCAGGAGGCAGATGTAGGGACTCACCCCCACACCAACCTTGTCAGGAGGCAGGTGTAGGGGACTCACACCCCTCACACCAACCTTGTCAGGAGGCAGGTGTAGGGGACTCACACCCCCACACCAACCTTGTCAGGAGGCAGGTGTAGGGGACTCACACCCCCACACCAACCTTGTCAGGAGGCAGGTGTAGGGGACTCACACCCCCCACACCAACCTTGTCAGGAGGCAGGTGTAGGGGACTCACACCCCTCACACCAACCTTGTCAGGAGGCAGGTGTAGGGGACTCACACCCCCCCACACCAACCTTGTCAGGAGGCAGGTGTAGGGGACTCACACCCCCACACCAACCTTGCAGGAGGCAGGTGTAGGGGACTCACACCCCCACACCAACCTTGTCAGGAGGCAGGTGTAGGGGACTCACCCCCACACACCAACCTTGTCAGGAGGCAGGTGTAGGGGACTCACACCCCCCACACCAACCTTGTCAGGAGGCAGGTGTAGGGGACTCACACCCCCACACCAACCTTGTCAGGAGGCAGGTGTAGGGGACTCACACCCCCCCACACCAACCTTGTCAGGAGGCAGGTGTAGGGACTCACCCCCACACCCAACCTTGTCAGGAGGCAGGTGTAGGGGACTCACACCCCTCACACCAACCTTGTCAGGAGGCAGGTGTAGGGGACTCACACCCCCACACCAACCTTGTCAGGAGGCAGGTGTAGGGGACTCACACCCCCACACCAACCTTGTCAGGAGGCAGGTGTAGGGGACTCACACCCCCCACACCAACCTTGTCAGGAGGCAGGTGTAGGGGACTCACACCCCTCACACCAACCTTGTCAGGAGGCAGGTGTAGGGGACTCACACCCCCACACCAACCTTGTCAGGAGGCAGGTGTAGGGGACTCACACCCACACACCAACCTTGTCAGGAGGCAGGTGTAGGGGACTCACACCCCCACACCAACCTTGTCAGGAGGCAGGTGTAGGGGACTCACACCCCCACACCAACCTTGTCAGGAGGCATTATACACAAATAACCTGCACATAAAAGAGAGAAGCTTACAACGACGTTTCAGTGTAGGGGACTCACACCCCCCACACCAACCTTGTCAGGAGGCAGGTGTAGGGGACTCACACCCCCCACACCAACCTTGTCAGGAGGCAGGTGTAGGGGACTCACACCCCCACACCTTGTCAGGAGGCAGGTGTAGGGAACTCACACCCCTCACACCAACCTTGTCAGGAGGCAGGTGTAGGGGACTCACACCCCCCACACCAACCTTGTCAGGAGGCACGTGTAGGGGACTCACACCCCCACACCAACCTTGTCAGGAGGCAGGTGTAGGGGACTCAAACCCCTCACACCAACCTTTTCAGGAGGCAGGTGTAAGGGACTCACACCCCCACACCAACCTTGTCAGGAGGCAGGTGTAGGGGACTCACACCCCCACACAAACCTTGTCAGGAGGCAGGTGTAGGGGACTCACCCCCACACCAACCTTGTCAGGAGGCAGGTGTAGGGGACTCACACCCCCACACCAACCTTGTCAGGAGGCAGGTGTAGGGGACTCACACCCCCCACACCAACCTTGTCAGGAGGCAGGTGTAGGGGACTTACACCCCCACACCAACCTTGTCAGGAGGCAGGTGTAGGGGACTCACACCCCTCACACCAACGTTGTCAGGAGGCAGGTGTAGGGGACTCACACCCCTCACACCAACGTTGTCAGGAGGCAGGTGTAGGGGACTCACACCCCTCACACCAACGTTGTCAGGAGGCAGGTGTAGGGGACTCACACCCCTCACACCAACCTTATCAGGACGTGGATATAAGACATACGTTTTCATACACATCCACAGGTCAAACAATCTTACCTGCTTTAAAAGCCGTTTTCTTCTGTTAAGATCCACAGTTGCTCCTCCCGCCGCTAGATGGCACTCAGTTATCTCTCCACCACCTCCAGCCGTCTCCATTACTCCTAAAGTTTAATTGAATAATTAAGTTCTTGCTCTAAGTTGTTCGTCTAAGTTACTGCTCTTGTAAGTTGGTCGATGATGTTAGCAGGAAGTACAGCATGTAGTGGAGGTGTCCGTGTTGTTGCTACTGTCACATCAACTGCTGCAACTATCAACATTATTAATACACAGACGTGACCTTAGACTATCAACATACCTGCCATCTACCACCAGACTATCAACATACCTGCCGTCTTCCACCAGACTATCAACATACCTGCCGTCTTCCACCAGACTATCAACATACCTGCCATCTACCACCAGACTATCAACATACCTGCCATCTACCACCAGACTATCAACATACCTGCCGTCTTCCACCAGACTATCAACATACCTGCCATCTACCACCAGACTATCAACATACCTGCCATCTACCACCAGACTATCAACATACCTGCCATCTACCACCAGACTTACAACATACCTGCCATCTACCACCAGACTATCAACATACCTGCCATATACCACCAGACTATCAACATACCTGCCATCTACCACCAAACTATCAACATACCTGCCATCTACCACCAGACTATCAACATACCTGCCATCTACCACCAGACTATCAACATACCTGCCATCTACCACCAGACTATCAACATACCTGCCATCTACCACCAGACTATCAACATACCTGCCGTCTTCCACCAGACTATCAACATACCTGCCATCTACCACCAGACTATCAACATACCTGCCATCTACCACCAGACTATCAACATACCTGCCATCTACCACCAGACTTACAACATACCTGCCATCTACCACCAGACTATCAACATACCTGCCATATACCACCAGACTATCAACATACCTGCCATCTACCACCAAACTATCAACATACCTGCCATCTACCACCAGACTATCAACATACCTGCCATCTACCACCAGACTATCAACATACCTGCCATCTACCACCAGACTATCAACATACCTGCCATCTACCACCAGACTATCAACATACCTGCCATCTACCACCAGACTATCAACATACCTGCCATCTACCACCAGACTATCAACATACCTGCCATCTACCACCAGACTATCAACATACCTGCCATCTACCACTGGGAAGTCACGTCCCTCTCAGATCAAACATTTCTCACTTGAAAAAGTTGTCCAAGGTGTGTGTTTTCTCTACTAAGATACCATTGTGTTGCAGTGTCTGGCATTGTGTTGCAGTGTCTGGCATTGTGTTGCAGTGTCTGGCAGGCTGAATATCAAAATGGTATACAATACCGACAGGTAGGTAGGTAAGACACATAGGCAACAGTTAGGCAACTTTGTTCCTGACTATGGAACTGAACTTCTCCAGGCTGAGGGACTGACAACCTTCTCTCCCGAATTTCCAACCTGAATGTCAAAAACAAACGTATAGATTCCTTCGATGTCACAGCCCTCTTCACCAACGTTCCTACTGACGCTGCAATCAACATTCTGAGACAGAGGCTCACTGAAAACCACGACCTCCCTTTACCTCTTCTAGATTTCATCAGTCTAGTGGAACTTTGTGTTAAGATAAGATAAGATTTCGTTCGGATTTTTAACCCCGGAGGGTTAGCCACCCAGGATAACCCAAGAAAGTCAGTGCGTCATCGAGGACTGTCTAACTTATTTCCATTGTGGTCCTTAATCTTGTCCCCCAGGATGCGACCCACACCAGTCGACTAACACCCAGGTACCTATTTACTGCTAGGTGAACAGGACAACAGGTGTAAGGAAACGTGTCGAAATGTTTCCACCCGCCGGGAATTGAACCCGGGCCCTCCGTGTGTGAAGCGGGAGCTTTAGCCACCAGGCCACTTCTTCAAGTATCAGGACAACTGTTACAAACAATGCTTTGGGATGGCAATGGGCAGCCCGCTCAGTGCTGTGCTTGCCAACCTCTTCATGGAAAACCTGGAGACAGAAAAATTCAGCACCCTCATTCCCAACACCGTTACCTGGCTAAGATACGTTGATGATGTACTGGTTTTCTATGCGAGACGTCTCAATATCCAGGCCCTTCTCAACAAGATCATTGCAGATTAAGACACTTATGCAGCATATAGGAATCTTTATTCAGGAAACGTTTCGCCACACAGTGACTTCATCAGTCCAATACAAAGAGGAAGGCGTAAGGTATCTTAATTCTGAGGACATGTACATAATCTTCACGACTACGACAACTACCTCTACAACTAACCCTTCTATTTGGGAAGGACCTACTTCCACTGGGGAATCCCGCCTACCAGTGAATATGCCCTCGTCTGCTACACCTGACGTTACTATATAAGCGCCAGGATTCTTTCTTCTGCTTCAGAATCTCCACGACTATGGTGCTGTTCGCACCTACTCCTAGGTTGAGGGACTGATTACCTCATCTTCTGTACATAGTTCTACTGTCTTCAAGTTATGTCCTAGAATTTGTATTGATAAAGCCACTGGATGGCGAAACGTCTACAATAAAGATACCCAGATGTTGCACATGTGTCTTACTCTCATCTTGTCGGTATTATATACCATTTCGTACACAACTTGTCAGACACTGCAACATCATGGAATCTTAATTCTGAGGACATGTACATAATCTTCACGACTACGACAACTACCTCTACAACTAACCCTTCTATTTGGGAAGGACCTACTTCCACTGGGGAATCCCGCCTACCAGTGAATATGCCCTCGTCTGCTACACCTGACGTTACTATATAAGCGCCAGGATTCTTTCTTCTGCTTCAGAATCTCCACGACTATGGTGCTGTTCGCACCTACTCCTAGGTTGAGGGACTGATTACCTCATCTTCTGTACATAGTTCTACTGTCTTCAAGTTATGTCCTAGAATTTGTATTGATAAAGCCACTGGATGGCGAAACGTCTACAATAAAGATACCCAGATGTTGCACATGTGTCTTACTCTCATCAAGGAGAGGAGGAGTATGAGGTAATCAGTCCCTCAGCCTGGAGTCGATGTGTTCAGTCCATCAATCTTGTAGAATGTACAGCATAGGGCCGTAGACGTGGCTTATATACTGTAGTGAGGTGAGGTGAAGCAGGCGGAGGCGGGGTCATAGTGGTACCATCCACTAGTCGAAGTAGGTCTTCGTCCAAAGGTTGAACAAGTGTTGAAGAATTCTTTGTAACAAGATCCCATGATGCTGCAGTGTCTGACAGTTGTGATGAATGGTTTGAAAAACCGACAAGTTGTCGGTTTTTCAAACCATTCATCACAAGATCATTGCAGTTGAACCATCAATAAAGTTTACACTTGAACTCGAAAATGATGGCAAACTTCCTTTCCTCGACGTTCTACTGTGCAGATCTCCCGACAGTGACAAACTTCTCTTCAAAGTGTATAGAAAACCTACCAACAAGGACGATCTTATACACTTTTATTCACACCAAGACACCCGCACTAAGAGAGGAGTCCTCATTGGCTTCTTCTTGAGAGCTCTTCGCATCTCCAGCCCTTGTTTTCTAGAAGAAGAATGCACTTACATAACACAAGCCTTTACACGTCTTCAGTTCCCATCTTTCTTCATCTGAGATTGCAGACTCAAGGCACAAGCTATCCTCAACAAACCGCCCATGGAACAGCCCCCTAAACAGTTCATAGTACTCCCATGTGGCGATGTTGCCACGAATACTCGCCGGGCACTTGCTATGAGTAACATCAACGTTTCCACCATAAACACATCATCTATCAAAGACCTCACTACGAAACGCAGCCCCACACCTCTAACTTCTACAGCAGGCGTCTACACTATTCCCTGTGGGTTCTGTCCCAAGAAATATGTAGGCGAGACAGGCAGAGATCTTGCAGTCCGCTTGAATGAGCATCGAAATGCCTCTAACAGAGACGATGTAAGGTACGCCTGTGTCCTCCACAGAGACTCCACGGGACATTTGATGAACTGGAATGAGGCACAACTCGTTCTCACCGAACCAGACCTCAGACGCCGACGGTGCCTAGAAGCCTCACTAATCGCCGTCACCGACACTATAGAACGCAACACTGGAAACTACAAAATTTCAAAAACATTGGCATACATGATACTTAAGCAGCACCAACCCAACAACACAGGAGTCACATGATTTCAACGTCTACCCGTCCTCATCATAGGTAGAGGTTGTTTTGATAAGGACCTGCCTCGCATGGGCCAGTAGGCCTTCTACAGTGTTCCTCCATTCTTATGTTATGACATTCCTCAGGTCACGTGCGTCACACCTCACTCTCCGCTTATATATATAATGTCTTTCTACCTCTGTATGTTAGAAGTGATCAAGGTCCCAGGACCGAAACGTTTTCTAATAAATATGTCATAGTGTTTGCTTACGTGTCTTTCTAAACCATACACACACGTACACAGAGCCAGGAGCTACGACACGACCCCTACAACAAGTAAGTCAGTACACACACACACGTACACAGAGCCAGGAGCTACGACGCGACCCCTGCAACAACAAATAAGTCAGTACACACACACACGTACACAGGGCCAGGAGCTACGACTCGACCCCTGTAACCACAAATAAGTGAGTACGTACACACGTACACGGAGTTAGGAGCTACGACGCGACCCCTACAACAACAAGTAAGTCAGTACACACACGTACACAGGGCCAGGAGCTACGACTCGACCCCATGCAGAAACAAGCGAGTAACAGACACTGGGTGTACCAGGCCGCAGTAAACACACTATATAGACCATTTTTCTTAATTCTTCCAATTAATGGACACGTCATTGGCACTATCAGTATCAACCTTGATAATATAACCACAACATTCAGATACCAATATCTATAAATGGCCATCCTCATCAGGAAATTTTCCATATGTTTTGTAAGCTGCTATCTACCTTGAGTCGTTGGGAGGTCAGGTCCCTCTCAAATCCAGCCATTCTCACTGTAGTTGTCGAGCAAACCCAGCCTCTCCCACTCATATATCTGTCCAATCTCTTTCTACAGTCACCCAAGGTTAGCCTCGATCACCCTATATAAACATCTTGTATTCAAGGTAGATACAGCCATTCTCACTGTAGAGGTTGTCCAAGTGGATTTCAGGTGTGTACCAAGATACCCTTGTGTTGCAGTGTCTGACAGAGTGAACATTAAAATGGTATAAAATACCGACAGGTTGTTAGGACAAGACTATTGTTCTCAAAGACTGAGGAACTGACCACCTCAAAACTTCAAAGGTGATGGATTGATTACATAGTCTTCAAGTCTCTTCTGCTTCTATCAACGTAATGGCTTGATAAAGCTCCTGGACTGAGGGACTGACCACCTCAAAACTTTAAGGGTGATGGACTGATTACATCGTCTTCATGTATCTTCTGCTTCTATCAACTTTTCTGTACTCGACTGAAGAAGCCTACTGTGTAGGCGAAACGTTTCAAAATAAAGATACCTAACTGTTGCATATGTGTCTTACCTAACAATCTGTCGGTATTTTATACCATTTTAATGTTCATTCAACACAAGGGTATCTTGGTACACACCTGAAATCCACTTGGACAACCTCTACAGTGAGAATGGCTGTATCAACCTTGAATACAAGATGTTTATATAGGGTGATCGAGGCTAACCTTGGGTGACTGTAGAAAGAGACTGGACAAATATATGAGTGGGAGAGGCTGGGTTTGCTTGGTGTCGTGGGTACGGGAGTAAATTCTTGGGCCGTGGGGTTTTGATAAGGACCTGCCTTGTATGGGCCAGTAGGTCTTCTGCAGTGCTCCTCCATTCTTATGTTCTTATGTTATCAATATTAATAGATTTACTGCGATATTATCAAAGTCTGTTTATCTTCTCCACACACTTGGCATCATCTTAAAATAATAATGGATGAATGGTTCAGAGAACCGACATGTTGATAAATTAGACACATGTGCAACTCTTGGGTATCTTTGAGGATAAACAAGCGAAGAATTCCCAAGTATTAAGATCCCAAGAAGTTGCAGTGTCTGGGTATCAATAAAGATACCCAAGAGTTGCACATGTGTCTAATTTAACAAAAAAAAAAAAATAATAATAATAATAATAATAATAATGATAATAATATCTTTATTTCTGAACATTAAAATGGTATAAAATACCGACAGGTTGTTAGGTAAGACACATGTGCAACAGTTAGGTATCTTTATTATGAAACGTTTCGCCTACACAGTAGGCTTCTTCAGTCGAGTACAGAAAAGTTGATAAGAACATAAGAACGAAGGAACACTGCAGAAGGCCTACTGGCCCATGCGAGGCAGGTCCAAGTCTCCTACCGGCTTAAGCCAATGCACCCACTAACACCCAGGATGTGACCCACACCAGTCCACTAACACCCAGGATGTGACCCACACCAGTCCACTAACACCCAGGATGTGACCAACACCAGTCCACTAACACCCAGGATGCCACCCACACCAGTCCACTAACACCCAGGATGCGACCCACACCAGTCCACTAACACCCAGGATGTGACCCACACCAGTCCACTGACACCCAGGATGTGACCCACACCAGTCCACTAACACCCAGGATGTGACCCACACCAGTCCATTAACACCCAGGATGTGACCCACACCAGTCCACTGACACCCAGGATGCCACCCACACCAGTCCACTAACACCCAGGATGTGACCCACACCAGTCCACTAACACCCAGGATGTGACCCACACCAGTCCACTAACACCCAGGATGCCACCCACACCAGTCCACTAACACCCAGGATGTGACCCACACCAGTCCACTAACACCCAGGATGTGACCCACACCAGTCCACTAGCACCCAGGATGTGACCACACCAGTCCACTAACACCCAGGATGCGACCCACACCAGTCCACTAACACCCAGGATGTGACCCACACCAGTCCACTGACACCCAGGATGTGACCCACACCAGTCCACTAACACCCAGGATGTGACCCACACCAGTCCATTAACACCCAGGATGTGACCCACACCAGTCCACTGACACCCAGGATGCCACCCACACCAGTCCACTAACACCCAGGATGTGACCCACACCAGTCCACTAACACCCAGGATGTGACCCACACCAGTCCACTAACACCCAGGATGCCACCCACACCAGTCCACTAACACCCAGGATGTGACCCACACCAGTCCACTAGCACCCAGGTACCTATTTTACTGTTAGGTAAACATTCGACAGATGTAAGGTGACTAACACCCAGGCACATATTCACTGCTAGGTGAACTAGGTGTTTCCGCCCGTACCGGGGATCGACCCCGGACCTCAGTGTGAGCTGAGTGCGTTAGTGATCGACATATACATGTAACAGATGAATCCTGGCCACCACTCTTCTCTTTCCACATTTTTTACCATAAATAATCTACTCTTGCAACTTTGTTGAGACTCTGGAGTGATTTACCGCTGTCAATCATTCAACTTATCCTCGAGTTGTAATTTTGATTTCTTTTTGTGTTGATCTGGGTGAAGGAAGGCAGTCGTACTAGTAGAAATGAAGTGGCAGTCGTACTAGTAGAAATGAAGTGGCAGTCGTACTAGTAGAAATGAAGTGGCAGTCGTACTAGTAGAAATGAAGTGGCAGTCGTACTAGTAGAAATGAAGTGGCAGTCGTACTAGTAGAAATGAAGTGGCAGTCGTACTAGTAGAAATGAAGTGGCAGTCGTACTAGTAGAAATGAAGTGGCAGTCGTACTAGTAGAAATGAAGTGGCAGTCGTACTAGTAGAAATGAAGTGGCAGTCGTACTAGTAGAAATGAAGTGGCAGTCGTACTAGTAGAAATGAAGTGGCAGTCGTACTAGTAGAAATGAAGTGGCAGTCGTACTAGTAGAAATGAAGTGGCAGTCGTACTAGTAGAAATGGAGTGGCAGTCGTACTAGTAGAAATGAAGTGGCAGTCGTACTAGTAGAAATGAAGTGGCAGTCGTACTAGTAGAAATGAAGTGGCAGTCGTACTAGTAGAAATGAAGTGGCAGTCGTACTAGTAGAAATGGAGTGACAGTCGTACTAGTAGAAATGAAGTGACAGTCGTACTAGTAGAAATGGAGTGGCAGTCGTACTAGTAGAAATGGAGTGGCAGTCGTACTAGTAGAAATGGAGTGACAGTCGTACTAGTAGAAATGGAGTGACAGTCGTACTAGTAGAAATGGAGTGGCAGTCGTACTAGTAGAAATGGAGTGGCAGTCGTACTAGTAGAAATGGAGTGACAGTCGTACTAGTAGAAATGGAGTGACAGTCGTACTAGTAGAAATGGAGTGGCAGTCGTACTAGTAGAAATGGAGTGGCAGTCGTACTAGTAGAAATGGAGTGGCAGTCGTACTAGTAGAAATGGAGTGGCAGTCGTACTAGTAGAAATGGAGTGACAGTCGTACTAGTAGAAATGGAGTGGCAGTCGTACTAGTAGAAATGGAGTGACAGTCGTACTAGTAGAAATGGAGTGGCAGTCGTACTAGTAGAAATGGAGTGAATCAGAGGTGTTCCAGGACCATAATAAACTATGCACGATTGGGGTAACTAGTGACATGGTCCTCAGATAAAAGAGAGAAATTAAAACTTAACAAATCCCCAGGAACTAATGAACTGTTTACAAGGGTGTTAAAGGAATGTAAAGAGGAACTTAGCATACCTTTGGCTTATCTTTTTAACATATCACTACAAACTGGCATAGTGCCAGACAAGTGGACAATGGCAAATATGAAATTAAGACATATGTGTAACATCTGGGTATCTTTATTGTAGACGTTTCGCCATCCACTGGCTTTATCAATATAAATTCCAGGACAATGGCAAATGTAATATCTGTTTACAAGGCAGGTGACAGGTCCTTGGCTTCGAGCTATAGACCAACAAGCCTTACCTCCATAGTGGGAAAATTTATGGAATCAAAAATTGCCGAGGCAATTCGCAGTCATCTTGAATAGCATAAATTGATTAAGGATCTTAATACTGTTTAACAAAGGGGCGTTCCTGTCTTATGAATTTACTAACTTTTTTCACTAAGGTGTTTGAGGAGGTAGACCATGGTAATGAATATGATATTGTGTATATGGACTTCAGTAAGGCTTTCCATAGAGTTCCACATCAGAGGCTATTGAGGAAACTTAAGGCACACGGAATAGGAGGAGAATTTTTTTCTTGGGTAGAGGCATGGTTGACAAATAGGCAGCAGAGAGTTTGCATAAATGGGGAGAAATCAGAATGGGGGCACATCACAAGCGGTGTTCCTCAGGGGTCAGTGTTGGGCCCGTTGTTGTTCACAATTTACATAAAAGACATTGATGAGGGAATAAACAGCGACATAAGCAAATTTGCTGATGACAAAAATAGGCCGTCCAATTTATTCTAATGAGGACACTAGAGCACTCCAGGATGATTTGAATATACTGATGTATATGGTCGGAGAAGTGGCAGATGCAGTTTAATATTGACAAATGCAAAGTTCTAAACACTGGACAGGTAAATAACCATGCCACATATAAACTAAATAATGTAGATCTTAATACTACTGATTGCGAAAAGTATTTAGTAGTTCTGGTTAGCAGTAATCTAAAACCAAGACAACAGTGCATTAGTGTTCGCAATAAAGCTAACAGAATTCTTGGCTTCATATCTAGAAGTATAAATAATAGAAGTCCTCAGGTTGTTCTTCAACTCTATATATCCTTGGTTAGGCCTCATTTAGACTATGCTGCTCAGTTCTGGTCAC